AAAAACAAAGAATCATTGCAATGTTATCAAAATGCAAAGATCCTAAAGAATTGTTAGAAATTTATGATCAAATTTCTAAACAACGATCTTCAAAAACAAATGAATCCGACCAAGAAGAAGAATCTCAATATTCTCAAGAGACTGACAATGGTGATGACTTAGTTGATCTAGGTAATGACTATGCCGAGTTTCTTGCTCAAGAGAAAGCTGCAAAAGCTTCAAAGAAAATTTCAAAATGACTACATGGACCCAGTTTTCTCGATGAATTAAGAAACTTCAGGGTCTATCAAGCAAGAGAAATTCTACTCAATCTTTGTCCAATTCAAAATCAATGGTGTTACATTTGTCAAGATTCTCATCAACTTTGTGTCAGACATCAAATCTTACTTTAATAAAGAAAAATATTATCTTTATTAAAGGAAGTCAAAAATTGGAAACTTTTGACTAAAGTTGATGCTGCTTTTCAAGATGCCTCATTATGATGTCGTCCACTTCTCTTTTCAAGATTCTTTCTCTCAAATGAAAGAAATTTCAAGTCCGGACTTCATTATAAAAAGAGTTCAAGACTTCACTTTAAGGCAGAGCAAAATTTAGCAAGAAGAAGTTTTATTTTTCTTCGTAATTTGTTCTCTCAAATATCTTTCTATCATCGTTGTAATATTTCAATTTTCTTCAATTTTCAATAAAATTGTCTATTTTCATAATTTTCTGTTCTTCTATTTCATCTCCTATTCCCCTGGGTCTTAATTAGTATCAGAGCCATAAGTGAACAAGTGAATTTAGTGTTAGATAAATAATTAAAATAAGCAATTAAATATTAAAATAAACGATCAAATTAGCAAATTAAGTATATGGAAAATAGTAATTTACGTTCATTTTGTTTATTCCGTTATCGGTTGGTTATTGCATCTAGTAGCAGTGTGTTAGTATATTTTTTTAATATTTTTGTTTATCGAACGTTATTTGCATAGGGTTCTAATATTTGAAATTTTGTAGGATGGAATATCATCTGGACGACGCTATCAGACAGATCCCTGGTAAAGTTACCTCGAATTGTAACTTTACCAGTTTCGCTTTGGTATTGGATTTGCTGGACGACGATCACGCAGATATATTACGTCGATCATGCTTATAGCCATTGTATTCGTTACGTGACGTACAGTGGTCTGGGCAGCTGCTGGATGCCCTGTTATGTCGCTTGCTGAAGCCAGTTGACGGAGACGCCCTCCATTTTGATCTTGGGGGCAAGGTAGCCACGTTCTCGATATTTGAGTTTGCTCTCATCACTGGACTGCGATGTACGGATGATGCAGAGGTGAGGGCCTGTGTTTCGAGAAACAGGAGGCTGTTGAACGAATATTTTCATGGACAGACGACGGTTACTCTAGCGTAGCTAGGAGATGCATTAAGGAGATGTGATCGGATGTATGATAGGTTGAAGTTAGGATTGGTGCTTATCATCGAGAGCATACTCCGGTGTCATCACAAGAAGACATCGATTGACATTTTTCGTTTGGAGGTTGTTGAAGATATTGATGCCTTCAACAACTACCCATGGGGTTGGAGATGTTTTCTTGATACATTACGCGTGTTTAGGAGGGGGTTTTCAATGCCAAAGGGGGATAAGCCCGAGCGCAAGTACGATGCATATGGACTGCCGTTGGCGCTGCAGGTATATGTTTAAGTTAATGAATTACCTACACTTTTTTTATTGAATTCTATACATAATAATTGTAATTGTTTCAGATATGGGTGTACGAGACTGTCCCCATCTTGGCCAGTCGGTATGCGAGGAGAGGAGAGACACGCTATCCTCGGATGCATCACTGGCGAGCACAAGACAAGCCGCTTGCCAGACAGTTATCGGCTCTCTTCGACGATCCTGAGGTACGTATTATACATTTGCTATTTATATTGTACGTCCTTTTACAATCTGAATACATAGTCATTAACAGTGACATATGAAAATGACAGCTTGAAGTTCTCACTGAATTGGCACCGTCGATCGAGAAGGAGAGTCAGTTTTATATTCGCGAATTGCCTCTTTGTACTGCGCATGACGATCAGATGCCTGAGTCCAGGATGGATCGAGATAGGGTATGTCACTGTACAGGATTTGTTGAATATCGCTTCGATCTTGTAATTAAGTGCTTCACTTGTAATATTTATTTTTTCAGGAGGATCGTTCAGTATTACCTCCGTTGAGGATATCACCTCCACCGAGGAGAGCACGTCCAGCGAGGATGTCACCTCCGGTGAGAAGATCACGTCCAGCTACGCCAGAGGTTCAGATGCCTGAGTCCAGCGTTGATCGAGATAGAGTATGTTACTTAAAAATAATTCTTCGATTGTCGTTTTATTTTATTTCTTAGGTTATTCATTTGTAATAGTTATTTTTTCAGGAGGGCCGTCCAGTATCGCCTCCTGCACCTAGTCCCCGTGCTTCGACGATTGATTTGTTCGACCTCCTGATGGAAATGAGAGGAGACATGGCAGAGTTTCGGGATAATGTCGTGACACTACGAGCTGAGTTCGGGACATGGCACAGTTACGATATGATGTCGCGATGTTACGAGCTGGATTAGGAGACCTCCATGCTGAGGTTGCAGCGATACGGGGTGACATAGCAGGCCTGCGTGGGAAGAGCGATTATCGAGATGGAGGAGGTAGCAGAGGGACAGGTCACTATCGGGACGGAGGGGGTGACGGAGGGACTGGTGGCTATCGAGACGGAGGGACTGGCGGTTATCGGGACGGAGGGGGTGACGGAGGGGTCGGTGGTTATCAGGGGAAGGGGGTCAGATGGGGTATGTTGACTCATCGTGGCCATCAGTTGCTGCATTTAATTCATTTTTAGATGACACGATGGGGATGGAGGAGCGAGAGAGGATACTTGTGGTGGAGGGGGTGCCCGTGCAGGATATACCTGAGGACGTGGAGGGGGTACTCGAGGAGGAGAGGGTACCGGAGATGGAGGTGGAGGTGGTACCGGAGGTGGGGGTGCCCATGCAGGGGATACTCGAGGATGTCGAGGGGGCATCGGAGGTGGAGGTGGAGGTGGTACCCGTGCAGGGGATACCCGAGGATGTCGAGGGGGTACCGGGGGAGGATAGGGTACTGGAGCTGGAGGTGGTACCCGTGCACGGGATACCTGGGGATATCGAGGGGGCACCGGAGGAGGAGAGGGTACCGGAGGTGGAGGTGGTACCCGAGAAGATGCCAGACTCACCGGTCGTGGTCTTTGTGTCGGAGGAGGTGGTCCCGACAGCGGGCGAGGGGGTCGTCCCGATGGCTGGGGAGATGGAGATTCCCGAGGCGCATGAGGAGAGGACGATGGCTGATGACATAGTGGAGCGGGTGGTCGGCAAGAGGCCAAGGGTGCCATCACAGTACGTTCTTTCTTCCTTTACCGCGGAGGCGAAGAGGAGAATGTTCGTCGACGGGACGCATCCGAATTTATTCAGGGAGGTGGACCATGCCAAGTGGAAAGCCTTTGGGACAGAGTGGAGAGCACTGCAGCCTGGGTAAGTTTTGTATTTTATGTAATTACTATAGTACGCAGACGCTGACACATGTTTACTTCATATAACTAAAAATTTTGTTCTTATTTTTTTAGGGCCAACCGCACGATTGCTGAGAAGACGATCTCAAATGCTTACAAGTGGTTCCACGACATCACCACTTCGGGGGCTTAGCTCGTCGACGATGTAATTGAAATGAATATATTGTTATTTATTATGTACGTTCAAAATCAATTTTTTGAATGAAATTCATAGATTAACTCTTTGCTTTATTGGTGTTTCTTGATGTAGCACATCGACTTGAGCATGGATTTGCTACGTGATCGTGCTGAAAGACATCCAAAATCGTTCAACATTCCTGTCAGACTCATATTGAACACCGAGTTCATCCGTGCCGTTGACATTGAGTACCAGTCGTTCCAGGCTATGGGTAGCGAGTATACGGTGCCGGAATATATGATGGAATGGGTCGTAGGGATGTGGCCGAGTGTCGGTGGGAAGCCATGGGATGGCTGTACGCATATGTACGTACCAGTATGTGTGAATCATCATGACATTGCAGTGGAAATCGTATTCGCCGACTCCACGATGTATGTGTACGACTCCGATCACTCATGCCTGACACAAGGCCAGCTCGAGCAAAATCTAGAGTCGGTGTTTGTGATCGTTCCCATGATGGCTAGGCAAGTGAACATCGCTGTACAAGACAGATTGACCACCGTGCGGAACACGACGACGACGAGGCAACAAATATCGTAAGTGTTTATAATTTTCTTTCTGTCATTTACATCTTAGTTTCTAATTAATTTTCGATGTGCTAATACAACATTGTTTAATTGTAGTGGTGATTGCGGCATGTTTGTCATCAAGTACATAGAATTTTTTAGTGTGGCACATAAGGTTGATGCAATCAACCAGGCATGGATACAAAATTGGAGAAATAAACTAGTATGTGATTTATTTGAATTTAATGGGGATCCGTAAATAATTATACATATTTTTACATTTATTTAAACATTGTACAGTTCATTCATTCATTTGTAATTACGAAAAAATTGTAAAATGTTGATTGCATATGTAATATTTAAATATTTATTTTACAATATAGCCTAGAAAAAGTTTCGATTTCAAATAATTAACATAAATAATATGCATAACAAATGAATGTAATCAATGAAATATTTGAAAAAAATACTAAATCTAATAATTCGCATAAATAATATGCATAAATAATTAACGTCAATGTTATAAATAATTACATTGCCAATAGTTATTAAAATTACACATCTGTTACATTGTTATGTAGAGGAATCTGACTTGTACAATATCTTCTAGTATGCCTTGTTGCACCGCACCTACCGCACTTATGAGACTGGGGAAACTCTCCGGTAGATGGTATTCTAGACGTACGTGTACGTCCAGGAGTACGTGGTCCAACTGCTGGTGGCAACAAGTTATTCAGTGGGAGAATGTGGTCGGGCACTTCCCACTTGACTTCATTTGGTATAGGAAATATTGTTTCCGCATATGCTGCTCTCCAATAATCAGTCATGTAATACACACTGCATAAGGTGTGTAGTGGTAATCCTTTATGCATAGCCACTGCCACTGCATGTGTACATGGAAAATTCTCCAACTGAAACCGTCTACACGTGCACGTGTTATCATTCAAGTCCACAATGTATCCGAAATTACATGCACATCTCACGGAGAAGCAAAATTGATCCAGTGGTTCTACATATACCTTTCTTGCCACATCTAGAGTCTTGAAGAGCTTATCTTCTTGAGCCGGGGTTAGCACACTTGCACAACTCTGTGATTCCTCACGTCGATCATGAAACCAATGTTGTAACTTGTCACGAATGTTCTCAATCATTGCAAGAATTGGTAACTCTCGATCTTTCTTGAATAAAGCGTTAATCATGTTGTATCGACGTCCTGGAAAATGTGATCGTGCTCAATGTTCAATCCCCATCTCTGTTAGATACTCCCATGCAGCATGCGATTTACTGTCTATTTCGACCATGAACTTATCAAACTCTTCAAAACTGTAAGCCTCTGCAGCTCTCCTAAACAACGCAACGACGCCATTGCCTCGATACCTGGTTTTCAAGTTTCCCTGTATATGGTACATACAATAACCATGATGTGCCTCGGGGAAGATTTCGGTGATACCATTTATTATTGACTGCCCTCGATCGGTTACGAATGCAAGATTTTCGACATCTCCAATTACTTCCCTCAACTTCGTGAAAAACCAAGTCATTGCTACATCATTTTCTCCGTCGACTATGCCGAAATCAAGAGGGTAAATTTGGATGTTCGCATCTTGGCATGTTGCAATAATCAACTTGCCCCCGTATCTCGCCTTAAGGGTTGTACCGTTGACTAAGATTAGGGGTCGCATTGCATTTCGAAATCCTCGAACACATTGTCCAAGGGCCATAAAGAAATATCTGAAGCGATTTTCGTCATCCTTCTCAATAAAAAATGCCGACCCAGTATTAATTCTTCCCATGTTATAGCAATACCTGGCCAATGTAAATAAAAATAATCATAATTTAGATAATATATTAAATATTAAATGAACAGAAAAATAAACAATTCAATTAAATAATTAATTACATATAAATAAACAATTGAAATTAAATAATTAAAATTTAAAATAACAAAGAAATAAACACTTAAACAATGAAATACCTGGCTAATTTAGCATAACTCTCCTCAGCCAAACCCATCAAATCCTCCAATGCAAATTCTTTAGCCTTCCAAGCCTTCTGATAGCTCATGACCACCCCGTACTCTCGTCGAACATCATTAATGATGTCCGAAGGTCTGTAGATCGTTCGTGGATCCTGGAACTTGGGCACTATTTCTCGACCAATGAACCATGATCGGGCCTGCCTATGATCATTTCGACGAATACCCACTTCGCAAGTATGTTCCCGTGCATACTTACGGACTACAAAGAACTCATTCGTGTCCATTTTAGTCGCTCGTAAACGCCAATGGCAACTGTCGTCAACGCAGATAATTGTGTATAACGACTTGTTTGATTTCTTCACTTTAAACTCGAAATTATGTTTTAAAATAATCCGGTGCATAGCTTTCTGCAATTCTTTCTTTGATTCGAATAGTTGCTCGACATATACATCTTCATCATCGGGAACTACATGCGAACAATTAGAGGACTGTGTACTCGGTCTGGCCTGTGAGCTCCCATCCGACTCATGTCTCCTACGAGATAAAGCAGTCAAATCCTCGTTTGTAAATGCATTTTCATTCTCGCTGTCTTCAACTATCGATGGAATTCTGTGCGTAACAGTGTGACCATGGTGAGTAGCAGTGGTCTCGGGAATAACCACATCATCTTCACAAACAATCTGAATTGTATTCCAAACATCATTTACATTTCGATTCTCTTCATTTGAAACTTCGTGTTCACCCTCGTGGACATTCTTCCCCAATAAAGTTACGCAAATAGGAGTCGACTTCCAGCCTTGGTTCAATTTAATTAGATGTTTCATTTCCACTTCAGAAGTAACTTTCATAGGTGGAATTGAAATGGTTGAATACTTATTAAACAAAAATCTCAATTCCATATCGTATTGAGAAGGATCGACGTTAAGCATGTTTTGTATATCACTGTACATTTCTGCGAACGATGTACTCCTTATTATAAAAATTGTTTTAACCACATCTCCTTCACTCATCCATTTCCATTCCCACTGAGCATTTTCATTCATTTGAAATTCACCAAAGTAACAAATTGGGACACATGCTGATGCCATATCTGCCACAAATTAAAAATAAGGAATTAATATATAATTTTTTAAATTGTTCATTTCATATTTAATTTAATTTAATACTTTAAATAATTCATTGATTATTTTAATTGTTTCAAAAATATTTATTTCAATTAGTATTTAAATATTCATTAATATTTATTTCAATAAACATATATTAATGAACAAATAAATTCTAAAATCTGAAAGGGGAAAAAAAAAAGGGCTGGGCCGGCTGTTTTCCAGCCAACATTTGACCCAGCTTTTTTCGTCCGTTTCATCTGAAATTTATGCTCGAATTTTTTATTTTTTCCCTTTTCAACGAAATATTGTTTAAATATTTATTTTACAGACACCTATAAATTTTTCCTGTAAAATATATGCATACAGAGATAAATTTTTTTGTTGTTTTTGCTATAAAAAATTATAAATATGTGTTTAAATACTGTAAAATTCATCTGCCTCTCTCAAAATAATTATTTACAGATTCAAACAGTAAATTTAACTAAAACAAAATTCAAAATACGTATTTACACTTACCAATTTTCAGTGCCGACTGTGAGTATTGTTTCTTTTTTGAACCTTTGATAATTTTGGGAGATTTCAATATTTTAGCAGATGAAAGGAAAAAATTCCTTTTTACTGTATTGGAAAAACTGATAACCAAAACTGATTTTGAAATTTACGTATGGAAGTAACAGAATTTTTTTAAACTATTAAGGGTATTATTGTCTTTTAAACAATTGATATACTTTTGTAATTATCAAACATGAATAAGGATAGAATTGTCTTTTTAATGACAATAAGTCAATGTGATGAATAAAAAAAAAAAAAAAATGATCAAAATGAAAAATTGGTTGTTTGACCAAGCCATTTAAAAAAGTACCCCATTAGAGTTAAGCGACGCGTAAACTGTGTAAGCTATAAACCCCAAACCCACCAGGCACCAGACTCTTCTACCACTTTCTTTCACAATTTCTCAAAGAATTAGCTGTAATTTTTCGGAGTTTTGCCAAAATAATATCAAGATGCCTGAAGATTTTACCTCCGAACGCGCAATATTTGGTGGCGCCATCACCAGTACCTTCCCCCTCCGCTTCCAGGCTCGTAATTTCTTTCGTTTTTCCTTTAATTTGTTGGTATATTGAAAAATAATGTTTCTGATGAATTTGTTCTTGTGCTGACATTCATTTTAAAGGATGTGAGTACTATTCGTGAAGTTCCTGATCATCAGGTTAGTTAATTAAGGAAGATCGTCGAAATTTTTTGTTTTTTGTATTTTCATGTTTCTGGTGATGCAATTATGATTTGCCTTTTGATTGTAGGAGGTATTTGTGGACCCCACACGCGACGAGAGCTTAATATTTGAACTGCTGGACTTGAAGGCTGATGTGCCGGATCAGGGCAGCGCCACTTGGTTTCTTCAAGACCTTGCCAATGAACAAGATGCCGAGGGAACTATGGTAAAATTTGAATTTTCCATTTTGTTCTGACTTTGAAGTCACCGGTGGTATTATTGAATCTTGATTGATCAATCACAAATTATCCAGCTAGCTACTGACCATGTATTGAACTGTGATGGTTAAATGACACTTGAATTTTGTGCTGTTAGACTCATTTTGATTACAAATTTCTTAGGCAACAATTTTCTAGAGAGAGATCAATTAGTTTCCTCCAATCTGCACCCATAGGATTGTGGTCGACGTGGTGTGGCTGTAACTTTGATGGTTGAGAGGGCAGCGGGAATTACACTAGCATTAATGGCTAGAACACATTTTCTCTTCCTGGGGATTTCTTAAATTTCAACTTAATCACCAAAGGCAAACCTTTTTTGGATTTTCTCATATGCAGTTCTTGATCGTAGAATTTTATTGAGGCTTTAATGGAAAAGTCTTGTAATACGGTATCTTATTCAGGGGATAAATGTTATTGCAAAGGTTTTACATGGTTCAGTTTTTCACCTGCTTATTGAACCTCTTGTTCAGTTGTAGTGAAGCAACATATAATTTACCAAGTTTTTGTTAATAATCTGTACAGCAATAACTGTTTATAAAAATGTAAAACTTCGAATTCCTATATGTTTTATAGGTTCTGCTGCCTAACCTTTTGTCTTTACTTTTTCTTATTAACTTATTAATGGTATTGAGCAATATGGGATAGTAAATTCATTATAATGAGCTTAGGATTTTATATTTTCAGGTACTTGAGCAGTCAGGGGTATTCCAGGCTGATGGGTTGCAATACAGAAACATACCTGCTGTTGTTACAACTGCTACAGGGCAAATGGTAAGCAATATTTTGAATTATGTATATATATGGGAACATACTTTGGGCTTTTTAATTTTGACTTTTGTTTCGCTGATATTTTAGCTTCTTCATTGGTGGCAAGCAACTGCATAGTAGGCATTGTGCCATAGGGTAATTGGGAAAGCACGTTAGAACTCTTTGTAGGGATGGGCATGGTTCGATTAGGAGATCTGAACTGAACCCGAAATTTTCGAGTCCTTAGTAAGCGGAACCGTCGAGTCCAAATTTAATTATGGAACCGTTTGAGTTTGGGTTCGAGTTCTATTCCATTCAGTTCAGTTCGATTTGATTCTATTTGGTTCCTAGGTTCTGTAATATAATTTATTTTTTTTCTAATATTTACAAAGCTACATTAATTCTACGAATGATATGTTTAATTTTAGCACTTACAAGTTAACGTAGTCTTATCTTATGTCTTTTGCCTTTTTTTTTTATTGAGTTCTTCATAGTTTTGATTGTTACAATCACGGGAAGGGGAAAATTGCGAGCTAATAATAATTAAGAGAGACACTATCAAGCTTCAATTCGATGTCTCCAGAACAGTAGAAATAAAACTACAATAGACAGTTTTTGATAAAACTTAGGTCAATTTGATAAAGTTGGGCTTGAACTGAAAATTAAAAATAAGAAAATCATATTTTTGGGTTTGGGCTAAATTAACTAGTTAGCAAATTTATTTATTTAAAATAAAATAATTTGACATATTTAAAATAAATTAATTAAAAAAATTAGGAATATTCGGTTTTTATTCGGTTCTTCAGTTCTTCATTTAGAACCGAGAATCGAACTGAACCCGTTGATTCTCAATTCAGATACTCGTTCAGATATTTAACTTAAGAAGAACTGCTCGATTCGATTTAGTTCAGTTTGATTCAAGAGTTTTGCCCCAACCCTAAGTCCTTGCATGTTCCTATTTTGTATTTGATGTGAACTATGAGAGAGTAGTGTTAGCTCTCCAACTTGACTCTTTTCACCAACTTCTACAAGAAACTGTATCCATGCTCTGTTTTTTCCTTCTCCTTTTAATAAAAATGAAATTTATTGAGCTCTTTTTGAAATTTTAACGATTATTTCATATATTCGCTTAAAGAGCATTCATTCCTCGTGTGTATATATATATATATATATATTGTGATTATAACTTATCTCGTGGAAAGGACAAGTAATTGGGATGGAACAATGATTCACACAACATTAATGTAATTAAGTTTCTGCCTTGAATACAAAGATTTGTAAAACTTTCAACCACTGTAGTTAGTACAAATGAGTTGAGATTATGATAAAATCATACTGTTGTGAAGTCCAAGATTTCCCTGGCTCAGTCATTGCCTTCATTGACTAATCTATAATGTTGGGAATGTCTATATTCTTTTGCTAATTGATGCACTTCCTTTGTAGGCCATATCTAAGGGAAGACAAGGAAGGGAAGCGCAAAATATCGTGAAGGTAAATTTCTTCTCTCTTCTTTAAAGCACTTCTATATTCAGGGGACCAAATAGGGTCAGGCCACGTGCATTTCGGATTTAAAATATGGACTGATTGCAGTATGTCTTTTTGACAACTGAAAGAATGTGGAGCGATGTTTTCTGGATGTATGGGTGCCTGCTAGTGAGTTAATGAAAGAGACAAGATACTAAGGAGGTTGGTGGGGATATAGACACTGGATAAATAAATAAGCTGTCAAAACATTTTGTATATACATTCAGATACTTAGCAAAACCAAGACAAAAATTAACTGATTTTTGTAACTTATTAAGCAAACCAAACCTATCTTCTTCGGTTTGAATTCCCAGTTCAAACTGGGAAATCTAAACCCTATCTGCATTTAAGCTGTTTTGTGCAATCTAAATGTGGTTTCTCCAGGTCTATTTGGCGAATTTGCGACTTAAGGAAGTTGGGACAGATGTTCTGATCACTGCCTATGAGCCTATGTTGATAAAGTAAGTGGCAAAAACTTTCATCTGCCAATTCTATCACTATGTTTATTTCTCTGCTGCACATATTAACTCTCCCCAATCAAAATGGAAAAACATTGGTTTTGCAACTTTTTTTTCTTTTCTTTTTTCCACCTGGAAGGAAAGATAAGAATGATGTATTACTACTAAGGATCTCTAATTGATTTTTGGCAGAAAGACTAGTTGAGATGCACCCAATATACTCTTTCATCTGCTTTGTTTCTGTTCTTGTAGTCCTTTGAGTGAAAGTGCTAGCACAGTTGGGGCTGGTTTGGCTGTACCTGCTGGTCAATCTGGATGTATGCCAATGGCTGAGGTGTTCAAACTTGCTGTTTCTAGTTTCAAGGTGAATGATTGGAGCCTTTTTGGTCCCATTGCTTGATAAGTTTTGGAGGATGCCAGCAAAAACAAATCTCTAATTATCCCGATGGCGCGGCTTTTATTTCCTGTCTTAGACCAGATTCCTCTTCAAGTTAAATTTTTTTACTTGGCAGAGGAAAAGAAGTTGCTTGGCTTTGGGCCCTTGAAAATATTTTAGTTGGTATAACTAAATATTTGAGGATAGTTATACTTTTACTGGATATTTGTGAGTTCTTGTTATAGGTCACCATTCTTCAGTGTCCTCATTAAGGCTTTTGTTTGAACTTTGAAGTGAACTTCTGATAGTAATTACTTGTCATCCACGCACCGCTTGTATCTACAAGTTGTGCATTTTCGTTTAATTTGGTGCCGATTGTGTATGCAAAACTTGATATTTTCTGTTCATACTCCATTGTTCTGTTTCATTCACAACAGTGTCCAATGGACAAATACTTTATATCTCCTATTTAATAATTCAAAATTGTTAGAACTAAGAACAAAACTAATGCAAAAAGAATCTTTAAACGGAGAAAAACTGTCAGAATTTCTTCATAATTATATTAGAGGAAAAATGAATGTGTACATGCTAATAATAAGGGAAAATTGCAATAAAAGCCTTAAACCTTTGAAACATTAGCAGGTTTTTTTCAAACTTGTTGATTTATTGCAGTCATCACCCCTAACACTTCCAAACGTTGCAGGTAAAGCTCTTTTGGATGGTTTTCATTCAAAATTTTGTTAGTTGACTTGAAATTTAATTTTGACCATATTTTTAATATTTTAAAAAGGGACAAAAGGGTAATTTTCAATTTATTCTACTAAAAATAATTAATTTAAAATATAAGAAATAAAAAATAAAAAACACACTCATCTTCTTCACACACCTCCACCCCACCCCAAACCCAAAATCCACCCGACCATCGCCACCTCCACCTCCACGACTACCTACTATCGGCCACCATCATCTACCCTATCATGATCGTCATCCAACAACCTCCACCACCCAACCCACCACCCAACCTCTACAACCTCCACCACCAACTCCAAAAAATTCAGAAATTTCCAATTTCAAACCCCAAAAATCATGCTTTTATAGTTGAATGAATGGACTAAAGCTATATTTGCCATTTCATTAGATTTTGATAAGTTGATGTTGGTGGTACTGGTACTGCTGCCCCCTCACCATCGTCGCCTCTCCCGATCGAAGCATTTTCTCTAACGCTGCCACATTTCAGAATATTTTTATATAATATTTATATAATGATATTAGCTCATTGGCTGCTGTTAATAGAATATTTGGAAAATGGGGGCTAAATCGTAATTGTGGTAAACAAGTAAATAAGTTGGATTTCTTGGGAAAATGAATGAAGTCTTTGGCAATTTGAATTGTTTCAAATCTGAGATTGATGTGATATAGTGATATTGGTTTTATGTTAATGAAATATTTGTCAAAAAAAAATTAAGAGAAACGGCTTGTTGGGTGGTGATTGTGATGGGTTGGATTATGGTGGCCGGTATCAGGTGGTTGTGGAGGTGTTGGTAGGGTGGATTTTGGGTTGAGGTTGGGTGGGGGTGGGTGGGTGAAGAAGATGAGTATGGATTTTTAATTTTTTATTTCTTATATTTTAAATTAATTATTTTTAGTAGAATAAATCGAAAATTACTCTTTTGCCCTTTTTAAAAATATTAAAAATGTTGTCAAAATTAAATTTCTGGTCAACTGACGGAATTTTGGATGGAAACCATCCTAAAGGGTTTTACCTTCAACGATTGGAAAGGTTAGGGATGATGGCTGCAACGAATCAAAAGTTAGGGGTGACGGTTGCAACAAATCAAAGATTTGGAGAAAATTTGCTAACGTTTCAAAAGCTTGGGGCTTCTGCTACAATTTTCCCCTAATAATAATTACAACATGATGAGACTCCTACTACAAAATATAAAAGCAGAAAAAATTTTATCTTCCCCCACTAGGAGTGGAAAGTGCTGGTAACTGGTGTTTTTTCCTTTCTAAAAGGTTGAGTTGGTTCATCTGATACACTGGGCAACCTTGACACACTGCCCTCGCTTCTCTTTTTATTTGGTCCAATGTCCTCTATCATGTACTTCCACCCATCAATAGACCTTCTTCGGCTAAATATGTGATTCTTTATAAAACTAGCTATCCGAATACGAAAAATTAGGTAGTTTCAGAAAGAGAGAAAAAAGAATGTAAACACGTGGATATAAACAATGTCAAACCTGTAAGAAAAAAATTATTCATCGGGAGGCCTCCAAATATCTAACACGTACATTGGCGTCACAAAATCATCGACGAGAAAAGTGCAATAAATTACAAAATTTTGCAAGACCCTGGACCTGAAGTCTGAATGAAAGGTTAACCATATTTTACATTTTCCCCCCAACAATTCAAGGGTTTTCTCTTTCGGGCCTCGATTTCTTTCTGAATATGGTTATTAATAGGTAAGCATACACTCTCAAGCATGAAATGATAATGAGACTCAAAAAGTACCTAACCACCTGAGCTCCAGATGTTGAGTTCTTTCAACACACCCAGTGGGCAACTAGGCTATTTGAGTCAATCTCTATAAATTGAAAGTGAAATTCATCTTGCGTTTTAGCCTCTCCTAGTCCAATTTTTGTCAACCACCTTGTCATCTATAGGTAAGACGAGATATGTTTGTATAAAAACACAGAATTGACATCTTAGCCATTTTGGACTACTATGGATAACAGATAATTAAAGGGCGAAAGCATAAAAATTTGCTTCTTTCTTTTCATTTTTTCCTGACATATGCTTTCCCCAAAATCACTAAATATAAGAAATGCAAGACGCAGCATAACAGGCTAAAAAGAATTTGAACTATCATTTTGCAAATTAATCATATGGTAAAGTAAGACATGGCATTCTTCAATTGTATACTCCATTGCATCATAGTTGAAAATGTCGAAGATGTAGCATTGCAAACATTGATTATAACAATTCAATCATAGACAAAACTGGAACTTGTTGAATGTAATACGACGCTCAAATTCTTGAAACAGGATGTCTTCTTCTCTCTGTGACATCTCCCACAAAAATTACCATCTGGAGATTTTGATGTTGTTTTCCAACCATCAGGTTTGTTCTTGAAATCAGTAATAGGAATTTTTGAATAGTCCAAATCATTGTTGGCTGAATCAAACATCATGTATTGATTGAACCCAAAAAGGTTATTTAACACGGTGTTCCCAGAACCCCCAATCTTCAAACTTCTACGAGCAAACTTCGCTAAGACACTATTTATAACCAAGTGAGGCACATCGTGGTGAGGCTTGATTACTAGAAGAATATGTCAATGCAATGTCACTGCAAATGGTTAATGTATTTATAGTAATAAATAATCAAAGGAAAACAATTCAAACAAGCAACTTTAGTTTTGGAGGTGGAAATTCGATGTCTTTTTTGAAAGGGGAAAAATGGAAAAAGAAAGTGTCTTACATTAATTTGAGAAGGAACGGAAGACAGTCTCCCAATATGAGAGACTTTCTAGCTATATTGCCTAAGATATTCAATAGCAGACATACTCGATTAGATAGCTACATATCTAAGGCAAAACAATTCTGTTGACACACTTGACCAACTCACTAGGGCCTATGGCCCACTCATCCCGAATCACGTGTCACTCCAGTTGAGGTGGTATGTATGGCCAAGACTCTCATGTCGAAGCCCTGTGAAAGTGGCCGAGGGTCTCATGCCGAAGCACTATGAAAAGTAGCTGAGGCCATAATGCGGAAGCACCATGAAAATGGAGCCGAAGCCCTGACGTGGAAGTATTATGTGAATGGAGGAGGTCATGTTGGCCGAAGCTCAGTAGCCGAGGTAGCAACCTCCGAATCACAAAGCAGCATCTTCCATAGACACTTCTCCTAAGAGATCTTATGCACAAAGATCTTACTTGAATGATTGATATGACGTTTGTCATGAGTGTAAATGTTAAGTCTTGTCACTAGTAGAGGCGACTCTGCCAATCAATAAATGTATAGCAGACTAGGTGCAGCTGATGCCTACAATTTAACATGTAAATTGTCTAGACGAGGCCACGTGTACCCCGAACCAGGGGTCACAATTTAACTAGTGACACTATAAATATTCCCCCATATATCCCATAAAAAGGCTAATGTCAGAATCAATACAAAGAACAATACTTTACTTAATTCTCTCTTATTATCTTGCAACACAATACAAGTTTACACATTTTTACATACACATTTACAAACATCGATTGGTAATTATTGTACAATTGGTCTATGAACATCCCGTCGGATTCCGAATGCTCTCGACCTGCGCCGTTGAGCTACTTCCACGCCCGTTATCCGTCTGTTTTAGACTGTCCACATGTCTTAGCGTGTTGAATTTTCGCTTACGTGTGCGCAGGTGAGTCCGACATCTGTTGACAACATATTTTTGGGTCAACAAATTCCAAAATGAACCATGCCCGTTACCAACTCCCAACTGAAAGGAGAAGAAACCCATCCAATACCATTCTTACCTATCCTATCTTGATCTTACCTATTAGAAACTTGGAAAAAATTGTAAAAAAAATAATAATAAAAAATAAAAAAATAAAAAATAGATAACTCAAAGAACAACTGCAACATAAAAACGAATAATAGCAGCAAATATATAGGTTGCAGTTTTTGATCAATCTATTATGTTAGTTCCATAGCAGCACTTCCTACTAGTCTAATTGGAACAACTACCTACCTAGCTATCTGTCTTGACACAAATCAAGCATTTGGACAAGTAAATATTTTGGCTTAATCCATCAAATGCACTAACAAACAGCAATTAATTTGAATAAATTCCACCCTAGCAAACTCCTAAACACATAAACTTAAAAGACAAATGAAGATTACTTGCGCACAGGTACAACTTGCCAACACATTTTCAGCAAAACGGAATCAAAGTATCAACATTGAATTGCCTTTCACTACTACACATGGCAATTTGCATTCAAATAACATAAGTTGGGTTATTAATTAACAAATCAACATTGATAACATATAATCAAGCCGATGTTCATAAATTCACACTAGACAAGTTAATACTGCAGTACCATTGCACAATGTGGAAAGGAAATCATGCTTGGGGTACTATGAATAAGAACACTGAATAAGAACACTGAATAAAATATGATGGCAAATTCAATGCACTCGTTAAAAGTGATGGATCATGGTTGAAGTGCTTACTCAGAGTAGCTATCGAGCAATTTCTCTACATCATCTTGTTTAACTTATGAGGTATGAATCATTCAAGTTTTATGAATTGGTATCAGAACAAGCTTCAAGTCTCAAATCTTGGTTGGTGTATGGGCACCTGTCCTACGTGGGAGCCGATGTTTGAAGAGGTGGTGGTTCCAATGAAACTTATGAGGGTTTGAATACCACATCGAAAGAATAGGTTTATGAGACGTTTCCCATGCGTCGTTCCACTCGTCATTGCCAATTTTGTGGTTATGGTACGACAAACGAAAAATTCCAACTAGGTTTTCTAAGAACAACAACGAGTCTATAAATTGAGAAAATTTCGATGGGACGATTACACCGTTCTACGTGGTATGACCATCGAATGGGGAGCTACTACCTCATCAGGTGGTCCATTATCACCCATGAGGTGAGACCATCTCGGGACTTGATTTTTTTCTCTTTTTTCACCTTAAGTCTCAAGGTGGTCTCACCTCATGGGATGAGGGTGGGCCACCCGATAAGGTGGTAGCTCCTCATTCGACAATGCCACTTTCCCACTAATTGGCAATTAATTTTTTTGTTCTAATTTCAAAAACAATTAAGTAATAACTATTGGGCTGAAGCCCATATTATAAATTTTACACTATTTCGACTGAACTTTAAGGCCCATTAGGGTTTTGGCATGAAACAACTAATAGATAAATAGCCCTTACAAACTTTTTGTTGAAACGCTGAAACCCTAATTCCTGTTGCCTTCAGCAGTAAGAGATCGCCGGATTGAAGATAGAATCAGTGGCGGTCAAGAAAAATGGTGCACGTCTCTTTTTACCGCAACTGTAAGCATCTTACCCGTCATTTAGTGTTATATACAGAGTAATACTCATATCTGTGATTTATACATGGGAGCCTGCATTTTGATGTTTATTGCCTTGTTGATCTTCGAGGATTTTTCATCATCTCGCGTTTTGAGCTGTTCAATATCCAATGGTGTCATTTTTGTGATTTTTTCCCGATTTCTGTTTACAAGCTTGAATGTATGTAAATAATATTTAGTTTTAAGTAGTATTGACTGCATTATCAGTAATCTTAATGTTTGCATTATTATTAGATGTATCTTTTTATAATTTATAAAAAAATTTGTTTTTTGTTTACCTAAAAACTTAAAGACCGTGTAAAAAATTAGGATAAAGCATATGCTGTCATAAAAGGAAAAATCTTTTATTCTGCTTCATTCTTTGTTGAAAGTACTGGAACATTTTTTTGCTGATAGGCTTGCGGATTATTTTGGTTTCTATTGAGAATACGTGAGAATATTAGGACTATGTACTTGTATGAGATAATTAACTCTCTCACAAAAATTCGGATGTGAAGTTTGCAATAGTGTATTGATTGAGATTTGCTTGAAGCCTTTAGATACTCGATATAATGAATAAAGATTGTTTAATGCTAGTTTATATTTTTCGTAGAGAGAGAAGGGGTTCCCCTGGCCTGTTCTCTGATTATTAGCTATATCATGGTTAAATTGCTACTAAACTGTTATGTGCATGAATAATTACAGATGGGAAGACTTTCAAGAAGCCCCGTCGTCCATATGAGAAGGAGCGACTAGATGCTGAGCTGAAGCTTGTTGGAGAATATGGACTTAGGTGCAAGAGGGAACTCTGGAGGGTTCAGTATGCACTGAGCCGCATCAGAAATGCTGCTAGAAATCTTCTGACTCTTGATGAGAAGGATCCTCGTCGTATTTTTGAGGGTGAAGCTCTTCTGAGGAGGATGAACAGGTATGGGCTGCTGGATGAGAGCCAGAACAAGCTCGATTACGTCTTGGCACTCACGGTAGAGAATTTCCTTGAGCGGCGCCTGCAAACCCTTGTGTTTAAGGCTGGTATGGCCAAGACAATCCACCATGCCAGAGTGCTCATAAGGCAAAGGCATATCAGGTGCGGACGATTTGTCGGTTTTAATGATTGGTTTCGCACCCATATTGACTTCTATATCATATGTTTACTGGAAACATTATTGGCGTATGATGAATTTCATTTATAAATGGATGTTTGTTTGCATATACTAAATTGTCTATTCTTATAGGTATGATAAGTTATACGGTTTGGTTCTAGCTTTCACTTGTGTATCATACACATTGTGACTTTCAATTTTGTTTACACTTAATCCTGGGGGATAGTTCAGTGCTTTGGATTTGCTCCCCAATGTCACTAGTTTGAGCCTCCTTAAGGCTATTAAGGTGAGTATCCGACTATAAATTTCAAGGTCTCGTGGGATTAGTCGAGGTGTGCGTAAGTTGGCTCGGACTCCCACGGTCATAAAAATAAATAATAATAATAGTAGTAGCAGCAGCAGCAGCAGCAGTAGCAGATAAAATAAAATAAATTGTTTGCACTTAAACAACAGAATAGTGAGATTTGGATATTGACATGAAGTAGCATTATGCAATCGAATAATGTTGTGTATGCAGTCTTAATCTTTGGTTAATATTGTATTGAAGAGTTGGCTTCATATTCTCTTGGTTCTTCTATAATTTCCGTGATTTTGTATTTATAAGAATTTTATATTTCTTATAGATTGTCTGCAGTGAATCTTGTCGATGCTCTGCCCTAGTATCTCGACTCTTGGAAATACACACCATGCTTTTAATTGAAGAGCATTATTGCATTTTAGGAAATTTGACTGAAAAAGATGAGCAATAAGATTGAATAGTCAGAAGCTATGATGCTCGGACTCAGGTGCAGGTATCCGGTATGGGTACATATTTAGGCGTCGGATCTTTTATTTTCTAAAATATAGGATACGGGGACATGGTTAAAAGGAGCCCAATTTTCGGACACAGGTACGTGGATATGTCTTTCAAGGTTCAATTTTTTTTTACTAAATCAAGAAGTCATTTTGAATAGATCAAAATCTATTATTCACAAAGAAGGAAATGGATATTGAATAAGGAGTTGAGACGACTAAAATAGATTTTGGGGTTTAGTTTTCAATTATAGACATTATTAAATGTTATATAAAATAGCAAATAAGGGACTTGATTATAATTTGGACTTAGTGGAGAACTAATTAGAAATGGGAAAGAAGAAAAGGAAAGGAAAAAAAAGAAAGAAAGAAGAAAAGCAAAAACGAAGTGTCCGATTAAAATTTGGAGGATCCGACGTATATCTCATATCCATACCCATGTCGTGTCGTGTTCGACACAGGTACTTCAACTATTTCGAAGAGTCCGAGCATCAGAGGTCAGAAGTTGACCAGTCTGAAATTGAGATTTATGTATGAGCCGATGAGGTGCTTACATTTGTTCTCTTATATGTTTATTTCTCATTAGAACATCCTCTGTAATACATTGAATTATGTATTTTGGCCTTTATTGCCTATGTAACTCAAGAGATGAATGGACTGTGCAGATTCTGGTGCTGTTCCACTGACATATGCTAGTTACTTACGTCCAATCTTAATTCAATTCTTGTCTCTTATTATTTTTATCTAGCTCATGGTTTTGTGTCCGTCTTTCTGGAACTGTCAATAATCTCGACTGTATTGCTATCGATATTGACGTTAATTTGTATTTACTACTGCAGGGTTGGTCGACAAGTTGTCAACGTGCCCTCTTTTATGGTGAGAGTGGATTCTCAGAAGCACATTGATTTCTCTCTTACAAGTCCATTTGGTGGTGGCCGCCCTGGTAGAGTGAAGAGAAAGAACCAGAAAGCAGCTGCAAAGAAGGCTTCCGGTGGTGATGGTGATGAAGATGATGAAGAGTGAAGGCTCAATAGTTTATGTGGTTAATGTTAATGCCAGGAAGCTGCATCTTAGTTTGTCTTTGCTCTTAGTGTCTTAAATAAACTAAACTGTTAGTGATTTCTCTCCTAAGATATTAAAGATTAACTTTCTTTGAAATGGTCTTCAAATCAGTAAGGTGATTTTTCTTACGATACCATAAAACTATATTTTTGTTGGTTTTGTATTCAATTCACTATATGAATATTATCATTTCATTTTGGGAATTTGCATTATTATTTTGAGGCCACAAAGGGGGCCTTAATTTTTCTGGATCTATATGACGAAATTTTAACATCGGCGAAGCAATTGATATGCAAATTCTAGCTTCACAAAGTTGATCAAATAAGGTGATATGATAATTTAACTTCACCGTTTAAGTTTATTGCAAAACTCTTTTTAGGGTATGGTCTTTGTTAACTTGATCATGAAAACTCGTATTTCCGGGAATCATAGTCGAATATTCTATTTTAAAAGCAAAAATATATTGATCGAAAGGAAAATTCAACTAAAACAAGTGGGAAAGATAATTGCAACACCTTGTAATTATTACAAAAAGCAATCTAGAGGAAAAGCTATAAGAAATTCATCCTAGTGTGAAAAAAGACGATTAGATGTCATTCTAATCTCAGCGAACCAGATTGCTTACAAGACTTCATAGACACCTTATGAAAAATTAGAGTTTAGGCATTTCGAAGAATCAATTGATTATGATCTCAAGACTGAATCTTAAAGGTATTAACGAAAAAGCACCAAAAATGGAGTTTGTAGTTTTGTTTGTATTAGTACATAAGACCCAAGAATACAACAGATTTAGTAGCCAAGAAATACTACATCGACAACACTCGAACAAAAACCTAACCAACCAGTATAAAAGATTTCACCGATCTTAGGCTCAAACACTGTACCCTTCTGTATCTTTCACAGAGGCACCGAACAGACCCAAAAAACCCTCACAACTCGAGATACGAAACAAGAGTCATTTCGATGAACCAGAAAGAACTCAACCCCAGATCTATGGTCTTACTCAAACCAAAAATCACAAAGATTTTAATCTCATACAGAGAAAACAACCCTTAATTACTCAGAGGAAGGAAAACCAGAAAAAAGAGTGAAGACGAATAGGTTGAAGATTTTAGAGACACCTACACCAACAAAGAATGAATCGACCGATTAGGATTGGAAGAAAGGACCCATTTTATACTAAAATCTCAAACCATTGATCTGGGGTATCATCTAACGGTCCAGAGCAACTAGTGTTTCTCCTTCATTTAGCAACATTAAAGTCGCACTTTGAATACATAAAATATTTGGCCGAATATTGCGCTCAAGTCGTGGGCAATCCATCACACGTTATCGGGCAGTATATTTTTATTTGGGCCGATAGGCCATTTAATCATCGCCTAAACATATTGGACTGGACTTGGCATCATAGCCTAACAGATCTCCACCTTGATGCCAGTGGTTAAACTAAAAGCCCAGCATACTACTTATCCAACAAAGTAGTGGCTCCTTAGTCTTTCCAATGGTCATCAAAGTTTAAAGTACCTGCATAAACCAAAGCATTTAACCTACATCAATATTCGACAATTATAAACAAGATTTAAACTTGTTTAAAGGCAATACCTTGGTTCTCATATTAGATGGATTGTATTGTATGGGAATTTTCTCAAGTAACAAATCTTTTGAGGTTACATCTCTAATAAAATGCAGTTTAACATCAATATGTTTAGTTCTTTCATGGAAAATAGGATTTTTACACAAATGTATTGCACTCTGACTGTCTGAATACACTACTACGGGTTCTTTTAACTGATTTATTTCAGTTAATAATCCTTTTATCCATAAGGGCTCCTTAATAGCTTCAGAAGTGGCTACATATTCAGCCTCAGTAGTAGATAATGCAACAATTTGTCGAAGTTGAGATTTCCGACTAATACAAGTGCCACACAAAGTAAACATGTATGTAGTTGTAGACTTCCTATCATCCCCGTCCCTAGCAAATTTTGCATCGACATATCCCTTAAAAACAATCCTTTCATTACAGGCTTTAAAACATAATCCTAAGTGTGAAGATACTTTCAAATACCTTAGAAGCCATTTTAATGTTGTACAATGTTCAGAATCAGGATTTGCCATAAAACGACTAAGGGTACTTATAACATGAGCCACATCAGGTCTATTACATATCATAGTGTACATCACAGACACCACAACATTAGCATAGAGGACATTTTCCATATACTTAACCTTAGATTCATTTTTAGGACATTGTTCTTTACTTAATTTGAAGTGACAAACTAAAGGCAGATTGACAGATTTAGATTCATGCATAGAAAACTTTGATAACACCTTTTCCACATAGGAAGTTTGTTTCAAAACAAGTACTCTTTTAGGTCTTTTTCTTATAATATCCATACCTAAAATTCGTTCAACATGTTCCAAATCTTTCATTTCAAATTCAGAACTTAAAGACTTTTTAATGTCATGTATGTAATTACTATCATACCAATGAGTAACATATCATCTACATACAATAAGAGATAAACAGTCACAACACCAAATTTATTTCTTTTAAAATACATGGTCAAATGAATTCCTGTCAAACTTTTTATACCATTGTTTAGGTGATTGTTTTAAATCATATAAAGATCTTTTTAACAAACACACATGACAGGTTTAATCTTGTTTATAAATCCATGTGGCTGTTTCATGTAGATGATCTCATCTAGATCCCCATGCAAAAAGGCTGTTTTAACATCCATTTGTTCTAGTCGCTAGTCATAATGAGCAACAATAGCCAACATTACCCTGATTGTGGTATATTTTACTATAGGTGAAAAAATTTCATTGTTATCTACTCCCTGTTTTTGTGTGAATCCCTTGACAACTAATCTTGCCTTAAATCTAAGAGGTTGCTTTTCTGAACCCCCTTTTTTCAAAGTGTACACCAACCACTACAGATTTATTATTAGGCTTAATGACAAGTTTTCAGGTCTGATTTTTCCAAAGGGATTTCATTTCATCTCCCATAGCCACTTGCCAATGTTTACTCAACCGACTTGCTATGGCTTCATCATAAGACTTTGGCTCCTTAAATGCTAGGTCTTGATAGGATAAAACTGCAAGAGAGAGGTAATCTTTATATCTAGATGGCTTCATTATTTCCCTTCCAACTCTATCTCTAGTTAGTTGATAGTCATCTAGGGTTTCTAGAGGTTCACTCTCATTTTCCTATGCACTTCCCTCTGGTTCAAGTTCAACAGTGCCAGGTTCTATACCATTATCACTATGCTCTACCTGGAACTGATGGGTGGAGTCAAAAGAGGACTGTGGCTCCACCTGGAACTTAGTCCCACTACTTTCACCAACTTCCAACTCTCTCTCTCTCTCTCTCTCTCTCCTCTTACCACTAAGACAAGACATTTCATTTTCATTAAAAATGACATCCCTACTGGTAATTATTTTAAAACTCTTTAGGTCCTTAATCCATAACCTGTATTCTTTTATTGCATCAGGATACCCTAAGAAAACACACTTTTGAGCCCTAGGCTCAAGCTTACCAATACTATGATGAGAGTAGGCTGCACAGCCAAATATTTTCATATGGGAATACTCTGGGCTTTTTCCAGACCATACTTCTTCAAGTGTTTTTCCTCCTAGTGCACTAGATGGAGTTTATTAACTATATAGGTTGTTGTCATTACAGCTTCACCCCAAAGTAGTTTGGGAACTCCAAAACCAACCAACATACACTGACTTTGTGTAAAAGGGTCATATTCATCCTCTCAACAACCCTATTTTTTTGAGGGGTATAAGGCACTATTTTATGTCTTTAGATTCCATTTTCCTTGCAAAACTGATCAAATTTAGCATTGCAGAACTCTAAACCATTATTAGTCCTAAAGATCTTAATTTTCTTGGATGTTTGATTTTCTATCAAAGTCATCCACTATTTAAACCTCTCAAAAGTCTCAGATTTTTATCCAAGCAAATAAATCCAAACTTTTGTACAACAATCATCAATTAAGGACAGAAAGTATCTATTTCCTCCTTGAGTGGTGGTGGAAGAAGGTCCCCAAAGGTCGATGTGAATATATTCAAGAATAGAAGTGGATTTGTGCTGCCTAGTATTAAAATGTAACGTGTTGTATTCTTAAAGTACAATTTTCACAGAAAGGAATTTTTGATATATAATCTTTACCAAAACCCCCCTTCTTATGGCAGATCTGAAGTCCTTTCTCACTCACACGAGCCAGCCTTTTATACTACTTCAAGGTAGAGTCAGATTCAGCACTGGCAGCTTCAGCAACATTATCAATGACTGCATCAGCTTTAGTGACATATATTTCATTCCTTTTATAACCCTTGAAAATGACAAGTGAACATTTTATCACTTTGATTAAGTCATTTCCAAGTTTACCTTGCAGACCCATGTCATCTAAATTCCCAATAGAAATAAGGTTCATATTCAAATTAGGGACATATCTAACCCTTTTAAGAGTATAGATATATCCACTGTCAAACCTCAAGGTAACATCACCTATACCTTCCACCTTACAAACATCATTATTTTCCATAACCACTTCACCCCACCCACTATTTTAAAGTTTTCTAACCATTGTTTTCTAGATGTCCAGTGGAATGTATAGCCTGAATCCAAGATCCATTCTTGGTTCAGATCACTGTTATCTACAAAATTAACAGAGTTTTGATCGATGTTAGGCTCAATGACAACATACACATCAACAGTGTTGGGTTCAACGGGTTCCACTATATTACCTTCATCTACTTTCTTTTCTTTTAATTAATTCATTCTTCTTATAACAATCCTTAATAAAGTGACCAGTTTTACCACACCCATAAAACTTCTTTTTTCTGGTTATGGATTTAGATCTACTCCTGCCCCTGCCCCTGCCCCTGCCCCTGTCCTTTTCTTATTACTGTTTGTCTAACTACTTTGACCTTCCTAATTTATATTCTGCCTAAACTGAGATCTACTTCTCACAAAGAAATTCTCAAACACACTCCCTTATTTCTAAGTTTTTAATTCTAATTCCTTACTTCTTAAAGAATCTATTGTAATATCAGGTGTTAAGGTGTCCCTGCCATATTTTATGGCAGATTTGACATCCTTATAAACTTCTGGTGTTGCATTTAATAGGAAACGACATTATATTCCTCAGATACCTTATCCCCTGAATTAATGATATCCTGGACTAACTTATTGAAGACATCTAGATTATCATCTA